AGCAGATGTCAACTGCCTGATTCCAGAGCTGTAAAGGTGAGCGATCAGTTCTCCAGCCGATAGCAAAAATCACTAAGAGAAGACTGTTTTTTTAAACCAGTCTCCCCCTTGCTGCTCTGACCTCAGGGGCTGACTGGAGGGAGGCCCCATCACCAACTCAAACCTGCCCTTGCCTAGAACTCTGGAATAGAATTATTGAGTGCCTAAAACTTATTTTTCACATTTACAGTTCCTGGTTGTAACCAGGACAGGAAGCAGAAATACTGCAAGATAGAATTCTCTGCGCTGTGCTGACAAGGCCAGAACCCTGCCATGTTTTTGGGGCTAAAAGGGGACAGAGATGCAAGACTTGCCTCCACGCAAGAGCTGAGTTAGAAGCTGGTAGCCTTCAAATGAGCTCTGTTCCTGCCACCAGGTATCCTGAGTTGCTGGGCAGATATAAAGTCTGTTTGTTCTGCACTGAGAGAAGCTTGGTTTGTTGGACAGGACCAGCACCCGTGTCTGATTGTGCCTTACCTGCTTTGAGGGTCACAAGCACCTGCCTAAAGCCATCGCTGCTTTTTTAACCAAGCCTATTTCACCTTCAGCTGAGCACGTCTCCCCAGTTCACACTCCATGACAGATACTAGCCACACCAATTCCCCTACAGACGCAGACGGAGTTCAGCTTTACTGCCTACACACACAGACCCAGGGGTGCACTGGTCTCTCTGGGGACGTGGCCTGGCCAGAGCACGTGCTAGTAATGAACACGTTACAGAGCAGAGTCCCAAACACATCCAGTGAGTTGCACTGAAGCTACCTGAGCTCTTCCTCCAGAGACGGTGAGCGAGCCCCTGCCAAGGCTGCAAGGAGCCAAGCTACTCAAACCAGGGGGCAGCCAGGAACATGCTGGCAGAGTTGTGATGGCACACACTACGCACAACACTAAGGCCCAAGACTCAGTCACCAAAGGCTGGGCAGGCTCTGAGTGCCTGTGGTGCCAAGTAAGAACACCGCCAGGGCAAGAAACCTCTGCGCACAGGGATTGAAGTGGGAATCCTGCTGTCAGAGGCAGCTGACCCTTTGAAGGATTTGGCCCAGCCCCACCTGTGCTGTGTCATCCAGTCCCAGCTGATGGGTTTGGCCTGTAGTTGAGTCAGGTGACCAAGCATCACACTGGCAGGCTGGGGCCAGGGATGAAGAGGCCCAGGTGCTAGGTCTGTCCGGAAGAGCCGAATCTGCAATAGGCCTGGCAGGGCTCCCTGGCACAGAGGCTCTGAGGGGCTGAGGCTTGAAGCCTGTCACGGGGATCCAGAGGGACCCAAGGACGGGCTCTCCACGCCAGTCTGATGGCACGACCTACCGAGAGCAGATGGCTGACAAGGAAACGCCAGGCAGCAGGAGATGGAGGCTTTGGGGAGAAGGGCAAAGGCCATTTCAGCTGTTAACGGAACTTAATTTTAACAAACAACTTGCACAAGAGATGGCGGCAGTTTGAAAACCAAGGCAGCAGCAGGAACCCCCATGGCACTGCATGACCAGGCCCCGTCCCCTCGGGATCCAGAGCTCTCTTGGGGGTGCCAGGCCCTGCAAGTTCCCACCGTGCTCAAACACATTCCCCCACCCTCTGCAGGAAGGAGTCAGGGCTGCTGGCTTCTCCCCATGGGAGGGAAGGGAGACATTGAATATCCCATCTCCTAGAGCTGGAAGGGACCTTGAAAGGTCATGGAGTCCAGCCCCCTGCCTTCACTAGCAGGACCAAGTACTGATTTTGCCCCAGATCCCCAAGTGGCCCCCTCAAGGATTGAACTCACAACCCTGGGTTTATCAGGCCAATGCTCAAACCACTGTGTAGCCTCAACTGCCCCGACAAGGACTTTAGAGCCATCAACAGCCCTCTCAGAGCAGCCAGCTCCCCTCTGCACCCACTGGCCCCAAAGCACTGCCACCTGCCTGGGCATTCTGTAGAAGTAGGGGCATTGCCAGCAGACCGAGGGACATGATCGTTCCCCTCTATTTGACATTGGTGAGGCCTCATCTGGAGTACTGTGTCCAGTTTTGGGCCCCACCCTACAAGAAGGATGTGGAAAAATTGGAAAAAGTCCAGCAGAGGGCAACAAAAATGATTAGGGGGCTGGAGCACATGACTTATGAGGAGAGGCTGAGGGAACTGGGATTGTTTAGTCTGCAGAAGAGAAGAATGAGGGGTGATTTGATAGCTGCTTTCAACTACCTGAAAGGGGGGTTCCAAAGAGGATGGAGCTCAGCTGTTCTCAGTGGTGGCAGATGACAGAATGAGGAGCAATGGTCTCAAGTTGCAGTGGGGGAGGTCTTGGTTGGATATTAGGAAAAACTATTTCACTAGGAGGGTGGTGAAGCACTGGAATGGGTTCCCTAGGGAGGCGGTGGTGTTCAGGGATATTTTGGCAAACCAGTAAAGTGCCTAAACCACTACTGCTTGTTGCTAACAGTAGCCAAGTCAGCAGGTCATAAATTAGTGATGCAGCAGCCTCAGTGTAACCAGACAGGAGGGGAGGGGGTTTCAGGTGCCACAGACAGGGCAGCTTGACCCCGCACCCTTCCTGCAGAGAGTGTTAACATTGCTGATGCACGTATTGTAGAAGAAGCAGCAGTCTGGTTCTATGTGCCCCCGGGAATGTTTGTCAGGGCCCCAGGCCTGGACACTCAGAGAGAACAATCTCTGGTTAACTGGCAATCATAAGGTGTCTGACCTTTTAACCCTGCTTGCTTAGCAAGTTTCCTGTAAGGGACATGTCATTGTATTACGAATGTATAAATAAGGGGGGAAGTTTGAGGTAATGGGACTTCTCAGGAGGGGCTCTTCAGGGACGCTCCCTCTGGACGCATCTTTGGGTGCCCACCGGCAGACGGAAGCCTGGCCAGCTGAAGCCTGTCACGGTGCCACTCGAAAGCCACGCTCAGCTTTGGTAATTATTGAGGGTTGGGGGGTGTTTCACTAACCTGTTGTGGACGTGTGTAAGTGCTTGAGACTAAGTAAAGTTTAGCTTTAAGTAAAAGCACTCTTGTGTCGTCCTGTTTGTGCCAGCCATCTGTCAGTCGGACGGCCAGGTCTCCCTTGATTTATTTCCCGATACCACCTCGCACAGAGTAAAAGTTACTGAGAGCTTCGGGTTAAAAGAACCCCAGGCAACAGTGGAATCTCCTTCCTTAGAGGTTTTTAAGGCCCGGCTTGACAAAGCCCTGGCTGGGATGATTTAGTTGGGGATTGGTCCTGCTTTGAGCAGAGGGTTGGACTAGATACCTCCTGAGGTCCCTTCCAACCCTGATATTCTATAATTCTCCCATCACTGCTGTCCGAAGCGGATGAGGAGCAGCCCCTGTAGCTCGTGACAGGGTGGGCTAGATAGCCCAGAGACATGCTCCTTAATACCCGCTCCAAGGGTCCAGCCTCCATTGCAGCTGGGAAGGAGCATGGCCCAGCAGAGAGGGCCCAGGAGTGGGAGTCTGGAAACCTGGACTCCACTCCCAGCTTTGCCTACCATTGACACGAGGGGTTTAGCATTGGTCCCTCCAGGCAAGCACCTGTCTAAGTGATGCCTTGCTCCCCACAGCTGGACTCTCTGGTTTAGCTTCAGGCCCCTGAATTTCCCCACCTGTAAAGTCAGAATAAGTCGTATCCTCAGGGCTCTCAGGCTCCCCCAGCATTGTAGCGTCTGAGCCTCACGCACACAGACAGGATTAGCCTCATCTTGCAGACAGGGAAACAGCCACAAACACAGGAAGAGATGTGCCCCACATCTGTGGCAGAGCTGGGACTAGGAGTCCAGATCACATGGCTCCCAGCACAATGCCCTAATCTCCCTCTGCTTTGAGATCTGCAGTGACAAGTGCTCAGCGGAACACCCCGGCAAGTGGACGCCCTTCTAAGGATTAACAAGCCGGCCAGAGCCAAGAGGTCTGCCTGGTGTTATACAATTGTCCAGGTGCCGAGTGCCTTTGGGAGCCCAGAATTCTCTACCTCATCTGCCCTGCAGTGGGAGCGGTGAGCACTCCCAGGCAGGCTGTCTCATTATGCTAGCTAGCTGCTGCTGAGAAGCTACTGGGCACCTCCAACACCAGCTCCTCTGTGGCCAGCCACCATCCCACTGCCTCCTACAGACACGACACCGGGAGCTCTGCGGGTAGTTCTGGGGCAGGTGAAGGAAGGCCAGAGGAAGGCTGATCTTCCCTGAAACTCCCTGTGAGCAGATGGTCAGTCCAGACCAACCTCTGCAGGTGCCTAGCACAACGGGGTCCTGGACCATGACAGGGGCTCCCCAGTGCTATGGTAACACAAATCCTTCATAAAGCCCTGGTCTCCACTTCGGTTCTGCCAGCATTGCTATGTCCGAGGCATGTGAAACCCCCACTCCTGGAACAGTTCTGGCTCTACTGGCAAAATCCCTAGTGCAGATGCAGTTGTACAGACGAGAGGTTCCAGTCCCACTTATTTCACCTGCAGAACTGGCCTAAGTGGCACTGGCAACAGCACTGCCGCTGGTCTGACAGGATTACTACGGTCTCCCTGCTGGTAGCTAAGCAGACAGACTCCCTTCTAGTATAGACCAGGCCTAAGAGCACCAGGAAAACACCACTGGCTGCAGCACTTAGACCCTGGGAGATCTGCAGACCAGCAGAAGTTAAAGTGCCATTAAAGGCGGTTGAGACTGTGCCAGAGGAAATGCTACTGTAGGATACACTTAATTAAAATGATAATGGAACAGGGCTCCTCGGGGGACACATGCCTTGATAACAAAGCCTCTAGCTTATCTGAGTAATTACCCAGGCCTCTGTCTCCCCCGAACACCAAACCCTCCCCAGAAAGCTGCTGGGAAAGAGTCCTGCCCCGTTTGTTGTGTGCCCCTTCCCCAGGCATTCCACTGCACGGCTCCGGAGCCACCACTTTCCAGCGGGGCCTGCGCCTGGGACCTGCCCCAACCACATGTAACTGGGAAATAAAACAAGCATCCAAACAAGCCACCAGCAGACTGAAGGAGCTGAATATTTAAAAAACCCTGGAGTTTAATAGTACAAAAGCCAACGTTTAAAACAGATTCTACACAAAGAACGTGTTAAGAACCATGGAACACAGGACTCTATTTACACAGACAGACAGACGAGAAAGGCAGCCCCCAGCCACATGGCCGGACAGAATAAATATAGCTGCACTATTTACATGGGGGCCTCCTATCAGCCAAAGAAAGCAGCATTCCTGACACAACAGCGTCAAAGGTAACAACATCCATCCAGGGGAAGGAGGTTGGCAGACGACTGGCCCCGTCCCTATCCTCAGGTTGGTTTGGGATTTTAACATCCAGTTCATCAGGGGACCTAACTGGGCTTTGCCACATGACCTCATTTTCAGAATCCGTCTGACTAGGGCTTCGCAGTCTTGCTCAGATTGCCATTCTGCTCCATAGAAAGGAGGGGCCAGGAGGACAAGGGCCTTCAGGGAGTCCAGGATGCAGATGAGACTGCGCTGAACATCCTCCATCTCAGACTGTAGCAGCTTCAGGGCGGAGGTCTATCCCAGAGAAGTGCTCAGACTTGCCTGCTGTGGAATGGGATTTCTTCCCTTCTATGCTGTTCCGAATTCCGTAGCCAAAGTAGATGGCAAAACCTGCAAGAGAATTTCAGCACTGGAATCAGTCCCCAAGCAGCCCAAGAGCTGTAGAAACTTGCCACCCAGCCCTGGCACACCCTCCCCAGAGCCCAGACAGGCTAATGGGCCTCTCGCTTCCTCCCCCCAGCACTGCCTCCCTCTCCCCCAGGAGGAACGGGCCTGTCCTAGTGCTCTAGTGAGCTGCAGGCAGGGCCCAAACACCACTTCTGGTGGGCTCTAGACCAAGAGCAGCCACAGTGGGCAGATTAACGTCACCTGTTGCCAGCTGTTGACTCCAGAGGGCTCAGCTCTCAGCATCTCTCACGCAGTGGCAGGACACTGCCGCACCCTGCTGCTTCTAGACGTCTCCACAGCGAGGCATAAAAATCAGGGTGGAACAGGGCAACTGAGCCCCTGTCAGGCAGGGATGGAGCAGCCTCCCCACCCGCTCCGGGTCCAGAGCTCCTCTGCCAGGCCCAAGCCCATCACCAGGTGAATACTGGGGAGTCCAGCCCTTGTAAGGTCCCCCTTATGGGGCTTGTCACGGGGAGGGGAGGTGACGAGTGCGAGTCCCTGCCTCAGGGCCAGGACACGATGCCCGGAGCGTTGTGTTCGCTTACCTATGACCATCCAGACAGCAAACCGGGCCCAGGTTCCAGCACTCATCTGCATCATGAGGTAAATGTTAACGAAGATGCTGAAGAGCGGCAGCAGCGGCAGGAAAGGCACCTGTGAGACGAGAGAGGCTGAGGAGAGGAGCACAGCAGGCAAAGGCTGCCCTCCCCGTGCTCCCAGCCAAGGAGAGGCCACCCAGAGTCTGTCACAACCTGGGGACTGAGACACGCTGGGAACATTCATTTTTTTGCCCAATTATCTGGCAGCAAAATCTCAGGGACCCCGGGCAGCTCTGACAGGCTGTGTCCTGGCCGGATGGCCCTGGCTGCACCCACGGCCAAGCAGCCGGCAGCAAATCCCGCTGTCCCCAGCAGAGGTTGCCATGGAAGCGGCAGTGGTAGGAATACCTCCTGGGAGGGAACCCAGCTCCCGGCTGTTCCTCTTACTTTGAAAGTCAGCCGGGCGTTGCTCTGCGGCTGTCTCCAGACAACGATGGTGCAGAGCAGAATAAGCACCAGGACCACCATGCAGACTACGATCCAGAACACACTGCCCTCCAACAGGGAGTCCATCCTCTGGGCCAGGACCAGGCACAGGATGGTGATGCACAGAGCTGCAAGAAAGGAGAGACCATGTTGTGCTGCCCAAGCAAAACGGCTACTGCCTCACTCCCTGCTCTGATCCCAGCCACAGGCAGCAGGCACCGGCGTGGTCACAGCCGCCAGCCAGGCTTTATTCTCTAGGCCGCCTGCAGATCCCCAGAGACCGGCTGAAGAGCCTGGACTCTTCTCTTGCCCAGCTCCACGTGACTGGAGCCAGTTCCCTTCCAAATAAATGCACCCCGAAGCCCTGGGGTAACCAATAAGCACTTGCATAGCACTCTGCAAACACTGTCCCATCTCCCCGTTTCGTAGATGGGGATGTGGAGTCAGGTATTTGTGCTACTCCTACAGGAGATTCCTGCTTAGACGGGAGCGCTGAGGGGCAGCTTCCCTAGTCCAGCAACCGAGTTAGTGACACGCCCTCATTAAGGGGGCCACACAGCACACCCAGGTGCACTGAATCTTTAGTGCTTCCCATTAGTTCCTGGCAGTCCAGGGGAGACCTGCAGGGGTTCTCAGCTCTCCAATCCTTGCCCCATGTGCTCCACATAGGACATGCCTGAGCAGTCCCAGCCTAACCCAGACACCCCAGCTCCACGGTGACAGCTCTGCCGAGCAGTTCTGCCTGAGTTTTACCCAGACACCACCATTCCAATCAGCACTCCAGGCTAGCTGCCCCCGAGCCCAGTCACTGTACCCCACCCATGAACTTAGCAGGCCCCCATCACATTACGGCAGTGTCACCCCCGGAGTTCTGCAGACATGCGCAGTGGCTGTGTGCTCACCCTGTGCTGAGCTCCAGGGGCACACTGGAAAGCCAGGGCATGTGCATGACGCCGGATGCTCCTGTATGGCTTTGGCAACAACCCTGCTCATTTCCTGCCTTCGCACACATTGCAGGCCTGGACTCTGTTCGAGACCCAATTAAAGCAATCGCTGCGTTTCACTTCCTGTGCGCCTACCCAGCTGAGGTCAGGCACTTCCTGGCGCACTTACCGACGGCCGCGGTGCTGATGTAGACAATTTTCCCTGACAAGCTGGTTGGAGTTTTGCTGGGGGGGTTGAAGAGGCTCCCCCACGTGAGCTTCTCCAGTGCAGCCGGGGAGTCACAGACTATGGGGTTCATGATCACTTTCTCCTCCTCGTTTCCATTCAGCTCCACCATCTCCAGGCCCTTTGGAGAGCTCAGCTGATCCCGCTGATACCTGAACCAAACCCCCAGTCAATGGTGACTCAACAGCTGCCCAAGCTGCCGCCAGAGCAGTAGCACAGAGTCAGGTGCTTCCCTGCCAGGGCATTAGATTTGAGGGCTCCCAGCACAAAGCTGCATCCAGGGCAAGACTTTAAAGTGCAGGCTGGAGCCAAGTCCGCTGCCAACGGTAACCAACTGGCCCAATGCAGCCTGGCGCCTTCATCGGGCTCGCTATGTCCGGGTCCACACACACCAGTGTTCAAATGCTTCTGGACGTGATTTACCATTACCACCGATTGGGGGAGGCTTTCACAAGGCTTGGGGCTGGGCCAGCCTGGCACAGGTGCTGGAACTAGGGGTGTGGAGGTGCTGCGCATCCCCTGGCTTGAAGTGGTTCCATCATATCCAGGATTTGCAGTTTGGGTCAATGGCTCTCAGCACCCCCACGATACACATTGTTCCAGCGCCCCGGCAGCCTGGTGACTGCTCAGGCTCCGCTCTGTGAAGTCCCGAGCGAGGAGTCTTTAGAGAGCGACAGCGCAGGAGAGCTACGTTCCCAGGCTGCCAAGTGGCCTGTGATGGCAGCCAAGGTTCCCCTGCCCCTCCTTGTGGAGCTTCTAGAGCATGAAATACCCGGACCCTGCTCTGATCTCAAACACACACTGAGCGTCCAAATGGTGGAAGGAAGGACCGCTTCCACACAAGCTCCCTCCGAGGCCCAGCTCAGGGCCAGGCTCCTCAGCCTGGCTAGGCCCAGGCCCAGCCTAGCACCAGCTCCTGCCATACACCCCCATGGAGATAGCTGCTGGCTCCCCAGGGCAGCTGCTCTCCAACGGGCAAGACATGGCTTTCCTGGGCAGGGGGCTTTGGGGGCAGGAAGCTCTGGCTGCAGCGTATGGTCTCCAGCACATGAACCAAGCGGCCCTGTTCAGAAGGCAGCTAACGCTCAAAGGGGCAGGCTGTAGGCAGACACCCACCTGAGAATCAGCACACAAACAGAAACCAGAGAGTACGCCAGCAGAGTGCCGATCGACATGAGGTCCACCAGGTCCTTCAGCTCAAACACAAGCGCCATCAGAGCTGCAATACAACAGGCACGGGATGAGCACAAGCCCTGGGCTCGCTCTCAGCCAGGCCACGTGAGCGGCAAAACACAAGGCAGGAGCAAGCGTCTGCTTACCAGCAACAATGCCAGACACAATGGTGGCCACCAGGGGAGTCTTTGTCCGTGTGTGCACTCTGGAGAGGAACTTGAAAAGCAGCCCGTCCTCTGCCATGGCATAGATCACCCGGGGCATGGGGAACATGGAGCCCAACAAACTGCAGTGGAGAAAGATTACACCAAAACATTCAGTATTCGCCGCCTCGATCCAGACCTCTCGCCACCATCCCAGTCACTAGCTGGTCCCTGTGGTCTTTTCAAAAGCCAGGAGTAGTGAGATCAGCACAGAAGGACCCTCCATCCCTTGTCTGGACCCTTTAGATCAGGGCTGGTACATTCTGATCTGACTCTTGGAGTTGGCGTAAATTCAGTGGAGAAACGTTGTGGATGCCCCGCTGAGGGCCGGCGATAACATTCTCACAGCAGTGGCAGCCACAGACATCTCCCCCAGGAAGGGTCACTCCCAGCACGTTTGACAGTCAGTGGTGGGCTGGGTTCTGTGGTCTCATACTCCCCACTAGATTCCTCACTGAACGAAGCCAGATCGACACCTGGCGCTCAAAGCACAGCAGGCGCTTCCCCACAAGGGGTCGCACAATCAAACGAAATCTGTTCCCAAGCCAACCCAGCTCAGCCAGGACAGTTCGTGCGTGTAGACAAGGCCAGTTAACCAGAGCCACACAGATGTGACACTGAGCAGGAAGAGCCCAGAAGCCAGAGCCAGGAGGGTCACAACTTAGCACTTTTGTTTCAGTTTATTTTGTTGCACTGATGAGAACAAGCGCTTACCATGACCCATGTGAATGGAACTTCTAAGCACAGCTCTCAGCACATCAGAACCATGACAACTACTTAAAACAATGCCTCCAATGAAGAGGGGTGTATGAGGAACTGGCCACAGGAGGGAGTTCCTTGGGGCTTTTCCTGAAGAGCAGATGGGCTGACAAGTACCACCCACCACAAGAAACAGCCTGCATTGCATGGACCCTGGTTTACATCCATGTGCCGTGGTAGCAGACAACGTTTTTTGGGGCTTCAATACTATTCAGATAAACAAGTGACTCACACCCAGCGATTCTCATTTGCTAGCATCTGAAGCTGAAGAGGCACAAATTATGCATTTCTGGTGGGCCTGGTGCTGGGATCTCTCGGAGCAAATACACAGAGGTTAGACAAAGGCCCCTGCTTTCCATCGCTTGAATTCTGTTGCTGCAAGTTTCTCATTCTTCTGGCCACTGGCTGCATGGAGTCAGTGCAAATGGCACCAAGTGCTTGTCTCTGGTGTCTTCCCATGTCACTTGTGACAGGTTAGGGGATATTGGGGCTCACGAGGTTCCTGGGGTGCTTGGCCCCTCAACGAGGGCATGGGCGTGTAGTGCACTGTGGGGGGGGGTACTGGGCACACAAGGGTGAGCTGTCTGGGAGGGAACGTTCCTGTCCGAGGCTGGACAAGGGTTTGCTTTTCACCCACATACACTAGCATACCAGTAAATCTTTTGACTGTCGTCTATACAATTGGTCTAGTAGAGATGAAAACAATTACTGCCATGTTGTGGAAGGAAATGAACCTCTCCCCCCGGCCATCTAGCCCCCCGCACTTAATCACCGTTAGCCAGACACCACCTCCATCATTTCCAGAGCCAGAACAAGATTCGGGGGAAGCAGTGACTGGCGTAGGGTGCTGGACAAGTCCCGAGTTCCTTACCTGGTTGAGAGTGCACAGAGAGATCCGACGGCTACAACATAACGGGCAGGCTCCCAGCCCACGTCTTTGAAGGCCTCAGGCAGGGGACTGTCCTTGTTCAGCAGGTAGTAGGGCACCATGAGGGTCAGGGCAGCAGAAACACCAAAATATGCCACAAAACAGATCAGGAGAGACACAATGATGCCGATGGGGATAGAACGCTGAGGATTCTTGGCCTCCTCCCCTGAAAGAGGAACAGAGATGAGACCTGGAGCACTAGCATCTTCCCTCCCCGACACATCCGCAAGTGCTGTGCCACCGGAATGTGATAAGGGGACCTCAGGAACCCCATTGCTGCAGACGAGTGGAGAGTGTCGCTGTCGGAAGTCAGCTTCTAAAGAAGTTTAGCTTTGCTTTTGAAACTCAGGACGCTGGAGAGCTTCCCCAATGTGACCCAGTGTAGTGCTGTCTGCCTGAGCCTACATACAACTCCAGTGCCTCCATTTGGCTTGGTTAAACAGAGTGAAATCAGCAAGACTGGTCAGTTCCAGAACCTGGGACCACAGGAAAACTGCCGATAATCAGGCGGATTTCATAGAGCTGCTGTGACTGGGGGAAGCAGCGGCAGAGGCAGGCACAGGGGTTATTGCATGGGGCAGGCCCCTAAAACGAAATGCAGTACTAGCCACAAGCCAACAGGGAAGAGGGAACATCCAAGCAGGCCAAAGGCACAACATCCCAGTAGAAATCTCAGCCCTCTCCCCTTCTCACAGCAGAACCAGTCAGGGCAGGGCAGGGCAGGGCTGATCAACAGGCGACTGCCCAGGAAGGTCACTGTGGAGCCTCCACTCTCCAGCTAGTAGGTTAGCGCTCTGACTAGTGGGCGTCAAGGACATTTTTCAAGCCCCATCTGCCAGGCCAGACAATGCTGCAGAGTGCTCAAAAAGGGGTGAATGGGGCACAACAGGGCAGGAGAACACTCTGCTCCTGCGACACCTGCCGCGATCTCGGTTCTGTTGGGCGCAGACATGGCGAGGGTGCACTTAGATCCTGCCGGCTCGGGGCCACGCAGCGAAGCTCACTCGGAAGCCTGCTCACAGCATTTCATGGCAGTGACAGGAGGAAGCGGAGGCTCCTCGGGGCAAAGGGCACATTCTCAATGAACAGAGTAAGTTACTATGGGCTGGGATGTCAACAGCAGGCATCCCAGCCCCAGTTCATACGCTCGCCTCCATGGGCGTGCGACTCCTAGTAGCATTCTCAGGAGCTCGCACGCATGGTGGGGAGAGCAGATTCCAGGCTCTGCACCAGAAAGCAGCAGATACCTCAGGGAAAAGACTCCCTCTGCCTGCTGGGTATTTTGTTGTAAGCAGACTGCACCATTTAATAAAAACCAGTTTCCTCTGCGCAGGCTGGTGAAATCTCATTGTACCCAAAGTCCCCATGTTTGCAGAAAGGCTCATAAATCTGAGCATTTCCCAGATCAGGAAGTGAAGTCTCTGCTCTTGGCAGCACTCAACACCCCGCCCTGGGCCATGCAGGGATCTCGGCGAGCTGGTTCCTTGGCTTGGCAAGCGCAGCTTCCAACTGCCTGCCCACAGCCCGAACCGATTTGGAAATTTTGCAACCAGAGATCACTGCATGCAAGACAGCGACTCACGGGGAGAATGCCGAGAAATACCCCATCCCAAACGACACTGCATAAGCAGCTGCTTTACCTGTTGTAGCGATACAGTCAAATCCCACAAAGGCGTAGAAGCACGTTGCAGCTCCAGCGAGGATCCCTTGAAATCCAAAAGGAACGAAACCCCCTGATCCCAGGGAGCCAATGCTGAGAGAGGAAAGTCTGGTCAGTTTTGGAGGAGTCTGAGTTAACATCTACCTCCTCTGCCTGCTGGAGACAGAGCTGAAAAGCCCCTGAGCAAATGCCACAGGCAGGTTTCAGACTCCGTATCCTGTGTAAAGCATCCCTGCCATGGGAGCAGGTGTCTACAGTCACCATCAATATGCAGCTTAACAGCCTGCGACAGCCACAAACCAGACAGTGCAACCGTCAACTGCAGGGGAAGCTGCATGGCACACTCCAGGGTAGGCACAGCCCTTCAGAGCCCAGCTAGCAAGGGGGCACCAAGCAGCAGCCAGAACTGGCATGGGCAGCACAGCTCCCTAGGTAGGTACCAACTGTGGGCAAAAAGCTGGGCTGGGCTCCCGCTAGAGGGCAGAGTTTGGGGCGTGGGACGTTCCCCCTACCTAACGTCCTGGCTGGTGGCCACGGCTGAGTGGTTGTAATAGTCTTCTTCAGACAGCTGCCAGTTCTTGACGCTTCCTTTCACAAAGCCAGAGATGATGACAAAGCAGAGAACCAGCAGGTTCACTGCAGTGAAGATTTTATTCACTAAGGCAGATTCGCTCACGCCAAATGCCAGCAAACCTGGGGAAGGAACACAAGAGGGGATAGGAGGGGCAACACCAGCCACGCCCTCCCCACAATCAATGCCCCTGGGCCATGCCCTTCCCCAACTCGCCCGCCCATGCCACAAAGCTCACGTAGCTTTACAGAGCTCTGCACCTCTCACCTGTGAGCAGCAGGACCAGGAGCAGCGCGAAGAAATCCGGGTACTCTGCTAGCACGCCTGGCACATGAAGGGAGGTGCTGCTTCTAAGGAAGACTGAGATGTGGTTGCCAATGATATTGTCAAAGGAAGAACTCCAGGCTCGGGCGACACTCGCCGTCCCTAGCAACCAAGAGCAAAGTTGCACGTTAACCAGAGAAGCCTCCACCCCCCCACCTCCTCCCAAGTACATGGCAGAGCTGTGGAGACCTCCCCGCTCCCAGCACAGGGAGCCCAGCTCTGCCACCGAGCACTGGGAGGATACACGCCTTTGTCACGAGAGCCCTCTAGCACCGTCACCACGGCACTGCTGTGCCTGAAGGGAAGAACTTGTGGGGCCCCCTCTGGGATCCCCATTCCTCACTGCACCACCCCTAAGCCTTTGGCTCATTGCACCGCTCTTTGAGCCTAGGCAACACCAGGCACTGCCTAGGCTGGGGTCACCAGAGAGGGGCTCCCAGCACTGTCTGGCCTGGCAGGTGAACCCTGAACTCTGTCCCCTAGACCCCTGTGCTCCAGATGTCTAATAAGCACAGCCACTACATGCACGGCCTCCAAGAGCCCCCATCCCGGGAGGACTCTGCCAGACCCTCCATCCCAGCAGTGATGTCTCCCCGTGATCAACAAACTCAGGAAGTTCTCCCCTACCCTCCACCCACTGGAGTGTTCGGGGCAGCCTGCCCCAGTCCTCCTCTTTCCACCATTTCGTACCTATCACATAGGACAGGATCAGGTTCCAACCAGTTGTGAAGGCCCAGATCTCTCCCACTGTGACGTAGCTGTAGAGATAGGCAGAGCCGGTTTTGGGAACCCGGGCCCCAAACTCCGCATAGCAAAGCCCAGCCAGCACAGAGGAGAGTGCAGCAACCAGGAAACAGACAACAATTGAGGGGCCAGCCTTTTCCTTGGCTACTTCCCCAGCTAGCACGTACACGCCTGCCCCCAGCGTGCTGCCAACCCCCAAGGCGATAAGGTCCAGGGTGGAGAGGCAGCGGGCCAGCCGGGTGTCCTCCACGCTGAGATCCACAATTCGGCGGCGGATCAGCTTCTTGCCAAAGCCAGTCATTGTTTTTTCACACATTGTATCCACGCCCAGGAGGTGTTGGACTACTTAAAACTCCTGAAAGAAAAGGTCACTCCATTACCACAAGGAACATTAAAGGTAGCAACAGTGTCAGCAAGACAAGACTGCAGAGATCTCAGGAGCCAGCAGCATGCAGCCAACCCAGCGGTCCCTGCTGTAGAGCTCCGGCAAACCCGGAGGCTAGGCTAGCTGGAATTTTGGAGTGACTTCACTGCTGCATCCCAGGCTCCACTAACGCCTGTCAACTGATCCCACTAGCACAGGGAGCTAACTGGTCCACCACACCCATCAGCATCAGCCCTCCTTTCATGGTACCCATCACCCATTAACCTGCTTGATGCCTATCCACCATCACTGGCCAAGGGTTGTGTACCAGCCTTGTCCGCAGCCCAACGCCCCCTGAACCAGCTTCTGGTTTATTTGCTTTTCAGTGGTAGGAGGCACAAGCGAAGGACAAGCCCAGCAACTGTTTGTTATGGAAACCTGAGACTCCCCAGGCAAGCACCGAACACTCCACACCCATCAATACCTAAAGGCAGGTCGCACGACCGGTTAGCTGTCTGGTGTGTACTCCCACTCCGCTTGGCAGCCTAGACACTCCCTGGCCCAAATGTGACTGTTTGAATATTTTTATTATGCCACAGTCTGTGGGTGTGAATGGCAGAGACCGTCACAAAACGGAATGTTCTGCCAATTAAACGGATAATCAGGTAAACTGGGCGGAGTCACTAGGACGAGGCAACTTTTCTCTTGGCATTAACACTAAGCTCATCTCCACAGTGCCTGACCAGACTCTCAGCCCATCTCAGCACAGCACCTGCACCCCAGACCAGCCTCTCCTACTAAGTCACAGTCAGTACTGCAGAGATTCCCAGCAAGCACCATGCTGATGATGCCAACCACCAGTAGAGCTGGTGCATGGAGCCCGGGAATAGGGTCAGGGTCAGGAAAAGGCCCTACAGTATATGGTGCAGGTCTAGAAAACTTCTCATGGCCTTATACTGGACCCTCGAGTAAGAACATGCCCTTCATCCAAGGATCTCCAAGGGCTTCATAATCACGCATCCTCACAGAAGGGCAGCAGAGCTCTGCACATCCACACAATCTGCTGCAATCCCTGCTCACTGATGCCCCATCTCAGTGCCTGGCCCCAAGCCCCAGGAGATGCCTGTGGATGGAGGTGGGTCACACGGGGCAGGAGAGCCACAGCGTTGATGGAACCCAGCTTGAGAAAGGGACTTTGAATTCACTTTTGGAGTACTCTGCAGTGTCTTTACGGCATTTTCAACATCATGCCAGAGTTAATGCCCTGGCATCTGTCTGTCCCCGAATCTTAGCAGGACAGCTCTCTTCGTACCCCTGGAGTTCTGTGGAGAGGAACTGGTATGATCTTCCTACATAGCCACTGCCTCTCACAGAGGCAAGAGTTATTTAACCGACGGGAGAGCTCCCGCCCAGCGGCTTGGGAGAGCTCCCGCCCAGCGGCTTGGGAGAGCTCCCGCCCAGCGGCTTGGGAGAGCTCCCGCCACAAGTGCTTACATGGTCAGTGCTGTAGTGTAGATGTAGCCAGAGTTACAGCACGGACCAACAATCTGCCGGAAGATGGTTACTGCACCTTAGGGGTGGCTGCACCTAATCCCTAAATGAACCAGCACACTCAGAGCTTGCTTTGGTTTTTTTAAACCTAACTTCCCATGACTCTTTAGCCATTCTGCCTTGGAGAACAGACACAGTTGCCTTTAACTCAGCTGTCACACAGGATGACCGATTGCTCGCTCTAACAGAGCACAAACCAGATCATACCAATTCCGCTCCACAGAACTCCAGGGGTACGAAGAGAGCTGTCCTGCTAAGATTCGGGGACAGCCAGATGCCAGGGCATACAGGCTTGTTCGTCCACCTGAGCATTGCAGCCCTCGGAGTGTAGGATCACTTGCTTCTTGGGAGGTATCGCTGGAATATGCGGGCACACAGAGTTTGGAAATTGCTGGGGATCCTGTCAGTTTAAGTAATGCTGATGAGGAATTACAGTCGTTGCTGATCGCGACCACCAGAATTATAATCCCAGAATCATTTCCACTATAACCAGCTGCTTTATCATGATCCAGTTCTGGCCGCAATTGCTATTGGCGCTGAACTGTCCATGTTTGGCCTCTACCAAACGGTGATTCTATGGCTGTGAAAGTGATGAACAACTGCAACCATCTGAGCCATGCAGCTGAAGAGGCTTTTCTAGATTTTAAACTCTAACCACCACCCACCTTACAGGGGCAAACAAACCCAGCTGAACTCAAACCTCAGGCCTGGCCCATATCTACCCCTTGTTGTCCAACACATGTGGCTAGCAGTGCCAGGTAGGGAGCTCCTGCACCTCCAAGCACAGCTGGTTACGTGCTTCAGGGAACTCCAGCTTGGACGGTGAAGTCTGAAAACTGCAAAAGATAGGAACTGCCAGAGGGATCAGGTCCATCTACTCTAGTAGCCTGTTTCCAGTCGCCAATACCAGATAGTTCAGAGGAAGGCAGGTGTAAGAAACCCTGCCGTAGGGAAATGCAGTATAACCTGTTCTCCGCGAAAGTCTCCCAATCCCTAACAGATGGGCTGAAGCCCTGAAGCAGGAGGTATTATATTCGTCGCAAAAGAAACACTGATAGGCCATTGATAAAACTGGACACTTCACGTCCTAGTCCAGTAGCGAACGCAGATATGATCTATAGCAGTAAAACTCCACAGTCAGAGCCATTGCAAGGGAAGAATTCTCAACTCCATCGTGGCCGTTGAAAAGCTTTGCCCTTAGCCATTCAGAAGCTCGTTCAGCGAGCCAGGCGATCAGCAGGACACCAGAGATCAGGAACTAACGCGTAAAGCTGAGGTGGGATAGAACAGAAAAGGGTGGCAGCGGCAACTGCAACAAAGTTCAGTTCAGACTGCAATCCCAGGCACACCAGCAGTTAGTTGCCACTAGGGGGACCAGATAGAAAGTGTGAAAAATCATGACAGATGAGGGGTAATAGTCACCTGAATAAGAAAAAGCCCCAAATCTCAGGACATCTGGTCGCCCTGGCCTCCACCAAAATGGGAAGCATTAGCCCTATTTAAATACCCAGTCACTTGGTTTGTATTATTTTACATTAACTTCTGGGTTTATCTATTTTCAGCCTCCATGAGCTGCCATCCACATTTCTCAAACAGCCACCTGAGTCAGACATGAAACAAACCTCAGCTCCAGCCTTCCAAAATTCACTGCCCAAGAAACAAATTGGCTGTTGCCATGTGGAGCCTACCAGCTGCAGTCATCAAGACAGCACAGATCTGCCAGGTACTGCACAGGACTCAAGTAGAACTAGGGTGACCAGATGTCCTAATTTTATAGGGACAGTCCCGATATTTGGGGCTTTTTCTTATATAGGCTCCTATTACCCCCCCACCCCGTCCCGATTTTTAACACTTGCTGTCTGGTCACCCTAAGTAGAACCTGCTTAGGGGAGGAACACGACAGCCACGTAGAATTAAACCACACAGAAAAACATTCTCCACCCTCGTGCTGTCCACAGGAACTAGGCAATGACAACATTGCAACAGTAAGGCTAAGCGGCTTAGGAGGCCTTAGCGTGTTCTAATAGGAAGCTTTATAAGCACATGCAAAACATACCCGGCAGACTCCAGCCTAACACTGTAAACAGAAGCATTTCAAGGGACACACAATCTTCCTCTAGCAAAACTCAGTTGGCCACGGCACACACGTTTCTAGCTAGTCTGCCAAAGCTGGGCAACATCGGTCTGAATAAAGACAGGTGGGCTTTAAAGAGCTATTAAACCCCCCCATGAGAAACAGCTGCCTGCCAACTGGGACCCAAAGTTTTCCGCTGCCTAGCCCCCTGGGGAGAGAAGCATACACCGTTCTTCAGGGTGCCAGCATTTGGAGGAGAGAGCAGCTGGGAGAGCATCAGAGGTCTGGGTATGCCTAGGTGTGTTTTGACAGGCAAGTCAGTAGCTTCAATGCTAAATTGGAGTGCAAGATGTGAACCTTGGCAGCGCTGATGAGTGAGCAGTAAGTGCTGCACAGCAGGTGTGAGCCACTGTCTCCACGCTCTGAAGAGCCAGAGACAAACAGCAGGAGGGGAGAGAATCAAAGCAGGCGAGAGGCGCTCCTGTGAACTGTGCCATTCCTAACGAGCCTCCAGATAAACCAGAACCCAGACAGAGCTCAGCAGTGATGGAAGCATATTTTAGAGATCGAGAATTTAACTTACTCAAGCTACTGGCCCCAAAGCGCTCAGCTGTGAAGAGTACTTAGCAGGGAGCTGCTCTGAAGCAGTTACTGACACAACAGCTGTGGTGTGTGTGGCAATTCCCATGGCCCCAGCTCCCCCGCCCTGCGAAGGGGTCAGTGGCACAGACTGGAAGCATCCCATGCAATGTTGCCGATTTGAAAAGGCTACAAATCCAGTGTGATCACTTCAGCATGTCTCAGCTGATCCTTCAAAGTCTCGTTCCTGTCTACAGAAAACCAACAATTTCCTTTCCTTGGGGGGAGGAAGGGAGATGGCCCAGTTTGCGCCTCCTGCTGCCTCCATGCCCCCAAGGTTCCACAGCCAAACCAAACAGGAGCGGCCGGTCTCCTCTGACGTCCTACACAGCACAGCTCAGTCGCATTCGGAAAGGGGCGGCCTGGAGCGAGCGAGCACATGATCCGGCAGCAACAGGCAGGAGCGAGAGCCGTGCTCATACGCACCATCGCCAGCCGCTCTCCTCCAGACGAGCATTCCTGGTCCTCATTGCCACGCAGGTTTGGTACCGGAATGCCAGAAAGTCAGCCGAGGGAAACCGACATGGCAGACACTGTCCCGACTCCTAAGACCCCCCGGAAGTTTTCAGTGTTTGCTCGACACCCATGACTGCCTGAGGTGCCACCTTGTCATAGCGCCTGACAGAACTGCCTGTGTGGTTCTGAACGCAACCACCACTGTGAGCTCAACCCAAGGCAGAGGTTAGGGAGTGAGTGACGCTCCACAGGGATTCGTGGACTAACAGACAGGCAGGAAGGGCCAGCCTGGAGCAGGCTGCTTAGCGCAGTGCCAAAGGCTACGACTGCTACTCTGTGCAGAGGCATGTCGGCCACAGGGGACAAAGCCAGGAGCCAATCCTGGAGGGTGAGGAAGGCGGCCAAGCTTCGCCCACACCCAGCTGTTTCGCCTCTTTGTCCCCAGTTGCAGCCAGGCCCCCACAAGCCCCTATCCTTGTATGCTTGTTGCTATCAGGGATTTTCATAGGAGTCTAGTTTTTCCCTGGTAACAGCAATAAATGAGCACAGCTCCCTAGTCCAATGCCCACGTCAGTTCTGTCTCCTTTTGACTTTGTGATGCTCTCTGGCAACCCCTCCGGTGCCTGAGCGGGACTTGGGGGCAGCGAGGGAATCCAGGCACGGCAGGGCTCGCATGCCTCAGTGGGTGTCAAGACAGTGCAAGGGATTTGATGCCTGGCCTCTTCTTTTTCTATGATGAGGGAGACGCTACCGAGGCTCCCAACCTTCCCCGGCTGCCGTGCCCCTTCCAGGAGTGGGCTCTGTCCTGTGTACCCCAAATTACACCTCACTTAGAAACTGCCAGAGTAGAAAATCAGAGTGTCCCAGCACACTGCTACTCTCTCATTTTACCCTACAATTATCAAATGCACCAACTGGGCGATAAGCCTCGCACCTGCATTTCCGTGTATGGGACACGGAGCACCACACACAAGTCACGGTGGGACAGGTTAGTTTGCAGGGACTTTGCCGGCGCTTTTCTACGTGGCCGCTTGTCAAAGGAGGCGGATTTCCAGCCGTGCTGCTGCACCCCAAGAGCGGTGCACCCCGAGGCACGTGTCCCGCCCGGGGAGCCGCGGGGCGCCGGCCCCGCTCTCGCCGGAGGAAGGAAAGTGCCCGGCAGGGAGGGAGGCAGGGAGGGATCCGGCACCGCCACATGAGCGCAGGCAGGAGCCTCCCCAGCACCAGCTGCTCGGCGCGGAGCCTCGCGCGGGAATTTCCGCGCCGCCCTTCGGTGAAGTTTCCGCGCGAAGCTGTCTCGGTCCCAGCGAGCCGCCGGCGAACTCGCAGCTCGCGAGCCCGGAACCAGGAACCTCACACGCGGTCCCCGCCCCGACCCGCAGGCCCCGAGACTCGCCCGGCGCCTCCTGGCTCCGGGACCGGACCGGACCGGACCCCCCCCTCGCCTCCTGCGCCCCCCCCCCGGCCGGGTCCCGCGGCCCCCGCGCCCGCCCCGCCGCGCCCCGCCTG